CTATCTAACCCAAATTACCCTTGACATTTGGAACCAAAGACTCAGAAGTCTATCATCAATAAATATTCTTATTATCCTCACTGAATCAACATTAACAGCAACGTGAGAGGGTAACAATCTTATATAGATGCTTTTTACTTTGAAAGTATTCTACAGACTCTACTACAGTATGTATATATTTGTATAACTTTGAATATAGTCAAGCTAAAATCCCTCAGGAGAAAGAATTTTTGGTCTGATGATACAAAGATGTAGATATTTGGTAACAAGAATATTTGACAACTCAAAGTAAGACTTACAACCTATAGGAACAATGTTGCAGCAGTCAAGCATTAAGTTGGTAGCATTATCCTGTGGGGATGTTACAATGGCTGCAATAGACATTACATTGTTCAAGGTGGGTGAAAATATTAAAAATAAGCACTATTCCCAAAAGCTATAGCTCCACTTTAAACCGAAAATGACATAATGGAAACCTGAACATATCTGGGTGCTGTAACGGGACAATGAGCTGAATCACTTTGCAAAACTTGTTTAAATGAATAAAGGAGACATATACTGACTACATATCCTTGAATGGTCCAACCTCAAACTTGTTGAAAATGTATAAACTGCTTAAAGCTGAGTTAACTATTTGAAACCATCCTTATGGATGAGTATTAATCCTTCTTTTGGGAAAAATGTCCAGGCAGAATTATGGCAGACAGTAATAAAATGCTACAAAAAGAGTCTTATTTCTTCTAAACCTGCTAAGTAACATTCTTTTAAATATTATTGGGGATTCATGTACAGAAAATACCTGAATGAAATTGTGTAACCCTTGCAGATTCAAGTTTAAAGTAAGACTTTTTTTCTAAAAATTAGCTTGCTTACTTAGGCTAATTACTTACTTACTTACTGGCTTCCTGTCGATATCAGAATACAATTTAAGATTCTGCACAAGGTTACTAACAGCCTCGCTTTACCTCAACTTTTCTTATCTCAATCAAACCTCAATTGTTTCCTTTATCCTTCATTCTTCCTCCTCCATTCACTCTGCTGTTCCTCCTTCCTTAGCACCACAGTCAACAAAGCTTTCTGGAATTGGAAATTCTCTTCTTCCAGATGTTCTCAATATCTAGACCCTTTCTTTGTTTATGTCTAAACTAAAAAAAAAATCTGTTTAGGATGCACTATGTCCATACCTGTTCATTGTAAGTTTTAATGTGTGGCAGTTTGTTCACTACAGTGAGTCAAATGCTGTGAAAGGTGCTTTTCAAATAAAATGTATTATTATTATTATTTCCAAGGATTGCTTTCTATCAATGCTTCGATTATTCTGAAAAATATGGCTAGCTATAAAGCGAGCAACATGATGATCATGGTCTAGCTTTCCATTATCCCCCCTAGGGAAGATGCGTGGTAACTATACTGTAACAGCTTAGACAGCAAGGAAGCTACGCTAATTTCAGTAGCTGTGAATTGCATTGGAAATTTATATGAAGAGCAGATCTGGTTAGGATGTAGGTGTCAAGGTTGCTGGATGTTGTTGTGGACCCAAATGCAGAGTAGAGATGGCAGAAAAGGTTTTTTTAAGTTTTATTGGTGAAGTAGATGGTAAAAAAAACATAAATCCAGAAATAACAGACTGGAAACTCAGAAACCAAAAACTAAAGACGCTCGGGAGAAACATACAAGAAGAAGAGGATCAGCAATGAGGAACTGCACAGGAGTTGTATGTATGGGGGACAGAACAAAGAATTGGCTAATCAGCTGATAGGGAGCAGTTGTGGGTAGAAGTAACTAGAAGGGAGCTAGAGGAAAGGAGACTGGCATAAGGGGGCAACAGAGAGTAACTCAAAAAATATAACACCGATTAAATATAACACAAAATGGAAAAGAAACCAATGACTTACAAAACAGAATCACATAAATAACTGAAACCACTGAAACTACTGCAGATGATATGATGAACTGACCTGTGTATTTAAGTTGTATATTTTTACTCTTTTTCATGTTCCTATTATTTGCTAATGTGCAACTTGTGCAAATTTTTTTTTTTTTTTTAATGGTTTGTTAATATTGTAATGTAATTTCTTTAATGTGATGACCCCAGGAAGATTAGTGGCCATTTATTTGGCAGCTAATGGGGATCCTAATAAAACTAAAATAAACTAAACTAAACCTCAACGGCTGTTTTTTAAATATGTGTACATGTGCGTTCTCATGTGCTTGTTAAATATCATCAACCTCAGCCCTAGTACTGTTCCAATTCACAAGAAAACAAACCGAGAACGGACTAAGTCCCGAATGATGTTCTCGCCTCCTTCTTTACCAAGTATGCATCAGAGCAGACTTGTCCGTTGTTGAGATTGACAGCTGTCCCAGCATGAACTGTGGCAGCAGCAGCTTCAAGGTTAGCACTCAGAGTATTAAGTTAAAAGTTCTCTTTTCTGTCGCTGTTGTTCTAAAAAAGTATATTTTAAGACGATTTGAGGTGAGACCATTAGAGCTTTAAGCTTCACTATATTTACTGATTTAGTGAGTAATAAAATAAAAAAGTTCAGATGCTGATTCTAACCACAGCCAGGGCAAGCTTTGGCCCATCTGCAGTGGCCCTCTATTGGGATAGCCAAGTGTGAAGGACCGCTGGCTCTGATGGCGATTTTTTTTGTTTTATTTGGCATTTTGTTAATATGACTTGTGCATATCTGACTGTGTTAATTATTATTCCCCCACTAAATGAAAAAAGTAAGTTTATTATTATCTAGAGACTATTAATAACAGGAGTCGAAATGCATCTCAAGACAAGCCGGGCATGTGGTGACGTCACAAGTACACTTCTATTCCAATTGATCCATATTTATACTGCATACTGCCATTCTCCCCAAGTCCATACTTTCCAGTTCTTCTCAAGGACTTGCTTGGCGAGGACACGAGTCCTTGTTTGCGTTTTTGTGAATTGAGAAACGGCCAAAAAGAAACTTAAACAAAAGTCCACAAAGAGCAGAATCATGACAGTAGGGGTATAATCAATATTCAACCATAAACAAACTTTATAAAAGTTTTTCATGGGGGGAATATTCCACCCAAAATGGTAAGTCTGTCATGCAACCAGAAGGTTTACCTCTGTTGTAACTACTGTCATTGCACAACACTCCTCCATGTATTGACAGTCAGCGTGCCTTAGCACAGGATTTCTTAACCCTGGTCCACAAGGCCCATTGTCCAACATGTTTTAGGTGTTTCCCTGCCTCAACACACCTGGCCTAAATGAAAAGGTGATCAACAGTCTTTTGCAGCATCTTATAGATACAGAGAAGGTAATGCAGTCATTTGAATCACATGTGCTTGAGTAGCACATCTAAAACATGGAGCACATGTGATTTTTCAAATGTTGACAGTGGGAAACGCTTTAAGACTTAAGACTTGCTATTTGGCATAAACAAGCACTGCTCTAAACAATATAGTAATGACCAGATATACAGTCCTGGCACTTATTTACAATTATTTTTATATTTTGTTATGGTTGTAGGAACCATAAGCTGTATATACAGTGAACCCTCGTCTTCCACGGGGTTACGTTCCAAAAAAAACCACGGTACTTAACGGATTTCCCATAACCCATGTTCCCATAACCCATGTTATGGGATACATATATATATATATATAAGTGTATATATACACGCACACACATTTTTGGGAGAGACAGTTCCAAACATGTTTGGAATGTCCTGAAGTACCCAAACGTTTACAAAGGTCAGCAGTTAAAGAGAAAAAAAAAGAATAGAAACTGAAAAAAGAAGATTTTCTGAAGAAGTCATAAAGATTTTTTTTTTTTTTTGCAAGAAACTTAAAATGGGAAAAAAAACAAAAACTGCAGTACATCCAAAACCACAAGTTTCCATCTAAAATGGTGAAAAGAAGCTACTATGAATCATACTATGACCTAGTGAAGGCACCCACACTAAATCTCTTCACACAATTACATAAAAATGAAACCTAAATTTTCAGATTTCAGTTGGCAGTGACACAAAAACAGCATTTCACTTTTTGGCTTTTTTAGTATCTTAAGCTCACACCTTTTCTGCCCCCTCAGTTGGCCCGGTTGGCCCTCTTAGACATGCACTCAAGTTAAATCTGTTTTTATAAGGTAGAAATAATGCCCTGATTTATACATTGAGAAATATATCGTACAGTAAAATGATTATCCAGCATATTTCAGAGCTCAGTAATCCCCTTATTGTGTTAAAAAAAATGTTCATCTGCTGATTAAATAACTTCTTTGTCAGATGTGTCTTTGTTGAACTTTTTGATAATAGTTTTAAAATTCATTTACAGATTTCAAAACAGATATAAAACCTCTTGAAACAAATTTTTTGCAAAGCAGTTAATGCTTGCCTAAATGTGGCAACACTGTTGAAAATAACATATATGGCATTTTACCAGCTCACATTGTATTCAAGTATGAAAAAACATTTTTAGTTTCCCAAAACATCAAACCTTTTGCATGTGAGCTGGAAATACTGAAGGAGGTAACGTTAATATTTTGACGCTTAGTACCAATATAATGTGTCTGTTAGTAAATTTATCAGGGGATTTTATTAAAGGGAAAACACCGGAGCCTAGAAGGGCAGCACAGAAGAGGAAGAAACTGTTGCGTTATTGTAAATGGGATTTCCAAGTCAAGAAGTGCAGGCTCTTTAGGGTCACATATAGTTGCTTTCTGTGTTTATTGTTCAGAGTAAAATACTTTTAGAACAAGAAAATGAAGAAAATAAGAGGTGTCTAATATTTTCTAATGCAAAATATGCAGAGGTTAAACTGTCTTAAGCCAGAGGGCTTATTTCAGTCATTTTCTTGCATGTAAAAAGAAAAAATGAAACAGAATCAAGTGAAACTTAAAAGGTTTTGTGTGTGCATCCCATTTTGAGCCTGCCTTGGTTTTTGGTTCCTTATTAACTAAATGCTGTTATAAGCAAACAGGAATCTGTTAATGCCATCTTTGTTGTTTTGTCTTGTGACCTACCAGTATCTGGAGAGAACAGTTTGGTAAGTTATAATTCATAGGCAATAAATCGCTCACATCGAATATTTGAAATTCTACAGCAAATATAATACATATTGATATATTCCTAAAAAAAAAAAAAAAAACATTAAATGTTGATGGTTGCATATTGATTGCTGATGTTCAATAATGAGAGGTTAACAGCTTATTTTAAAGGGGCTGTTTTTCCTGATTTTTGTGTTTAGGCTTAAAGGTTGCAGCTCGTGATAGTTATATTTAATTCCATGTCTTAAAGTGTAAAAAAAAAAAAAAAAGAAAATAGATTGTAAGAGACAGCCAATAATGTTTGGTCTGTAAAGTTTTTAAAAATCAGGTAAAGTAGGCAACATAGTATTTAAGGTAAAGGAAAATGAGGATTGGTGAATGAAAGTTTTATAATAAAAAAAAAAATATATATATATATATATATATATAAAAACATACTTGTCTTAAAACCTACTTTAGACTAGATTTCAATTTAATATAAGTTAAAGTAAGACTAAACTGGTTTTTACTGTAATTTCTTTTTAGACCTTAACTGTAGTTTTTTAAATGTATCTCATTTTGAAGTCTAATAAATTGATGTCTTAATTAAATTCTGGACTATATTTAAGTTTCAATGAGTATTTCAATTAAATCTAGCCACAGGCAGGTTTACTTTAAGTTGCGAGTCTATTTGGCCCCTGCTGTGTAGAGAAATGGATTATCTTGACCATATTGATGACCCTGAAATCTCAATACTACAAAGGTCAGATAAATGACTGTTAAAGAACAGGACTACGTAAACTTTTGAGAAAATTTGAATTTGATAAAATTTCAATTTTATCTCACTGAGTGAATTCAACACAAGTACTTCTTTCTTTCTGCAAGTATCACCTTAGAATTTTGGGAATTACAATTTTTCATCTTCCAACAGATACTTGAATTGAAAGTAGATTAATTGTGTGTAAAAGAAATTTCATATTGCTTTGCAAAGTCTACAATGCAATGCAAAAACAAGATTAAATCAGGTTTTCCAACACCACACATAAACCCCAACGAAACACAAATAATATGTAAAAAGTATATGTATTGTAAGTAGAGCCAAATAAATCACTTAAAGCTACAGTGTGTAATAATTACAGGGATATACAGTCATCATCTACGAGCTCAGCCTCTTAACCTTAATATTTGCGTTGCCTTAGAATTCGTTATTTATAATTACATAGGAGCGGGTCTCGCAGCCATGGAGGCAGACATCTTTGCGCTACGGCAGCGCAGAGCCAACAAACTAGCGATTGCGAGATCGCCCATTACGCTCGAAAGTAACTACGGCAAGTTGAGAGAGATGAACTGAGACGGTACTGAACAATAGATGGCAGTATTAAAATTATCTATATAAACAAACCTCATCACTTGAGAAGGTAGGTGATGCGGACGTCGTGGAAGACATTTTGTCCCGTAACGCTCGCCGTACTGGGAGGAAAAGCGGTGGGGGGGAGATGTTCATGTTGCTGCGGTCTGCAGTCTGGACGTTAGATGTCGCTGAAAATTACACACTGTAGCTTTAAAATATAGCACTCTATTTTGAGGTCAGTCTGACTCTACTAACTCCAGAGATTAATGATTATTTATGGCAACAACTATCATGTTTTAGCAGAAAAATGGGAATTTGTCATCTGAATGACTGTTGTAGGGGAATTAAACATATGAGTTCCTGTAAAGCAGAATCTCACTTAAAAGCTTAAAACAGAAGCCAAAGACTTTCCCTCTTCCTTACAGGTGGGAATAATGGGAGCTGCTGTGACGCCTACAGATGAATGGTGGGAGGAGCTTACATATGAACTCTTCTTGAATGACACCTTTTCCGATTATCCCGATTATGAGGATGTATTTGACCTGAGTTGGGGTGTGAATTTTAAACCTGTGTTCATTGCAGTTATGTTGTCAGTGGTGTTTGTTGTGGGAATCCTGGCAAATGCATTACTGCTGAAAGTACTGCTGAAGAGCAGAAAAACCTGGAGGGTAACAGACACCTTCATCCTTCAACTAGCTGTGGCAAACGTCATGCTATTGGCAACCCTGCCTCTCTGGGCTGCACAGTATGCCAGTGTTGGTGGATGGGTATTTGGGACACTCATGTGCAAGACCACTGTAGGTGTTTTCATGGTAAGAAATGTACAATAGGGAAATGTGCTAAAAAAACAAAACAAAAAAACAACACAAAGTATTTTTCATGGCTGACTTTTATTTGTTTTCAGATAAATTTCTATTGTGGGATTTTTCTCATGCTCTGCATCAGTGTGGTCTACTGCCTCTCCATCGTCCGTTCTGCAGAGAGGTTCATGCAGAGAAATCCTTGGGTGGTTCATGCCAGCTGTGTTGTGGTTTGGATCTTCTCACTGCTCCTCTCCATCCCTGACTGGATCTCTCTAGAAGTTGCAATAGATGACAGGAAAAACAGAAGGGAGTGCCTTCGACAGTTTTCCAAATTTGGAAATGGCACTGAAGAAATGATGATCTTGCTAAAATGGCTGCACCCTACTGTAGGCTTTCTGCTTCCTTCAGTTGTCCTCATCTTGTGCTTTTCCTGCATCCTGTTGCAGCTGTGGTGCAGTTCCCCAAGCCCCCAAAAGCAGCAAGCTTTCAAAACCATAACAGCTCTTTCGCTCCTTTTCTTTCTCTGTCAGGCGCCATTTTATATTACACTCATGTGGGAGAAATGTAATCAGAACACCATGGTTGAAAAAACTAGTGAATGTATAAATTTTCTGGACAAGGCTCTGACCATAACCTCTACTTTGGGTTACTTCCACTGGGTCCTGAACCCCATTCTGTTTGTTCTTGTTGATGTTAAGCTTTGGCTTCAGTTGAGGGACATGTGGGGAAAGACATCCAACCGTGCAGTTTTCCAACCATCAGTGTACAGCAGCTAAACAGGAATACAATACTGTCTTAATAACATTTATTTCTGTCTGACTCTCATTGCAACATATTTTAACATTTCTAACTATCAGGCAAGACAGTGATATGAAGAATTAAGCATGATTATGTAATATTTATTTACTGTTCTTAAAAAACATAAGCATAGCCTCAGGAAAATCGAAAAGCATTGAAAAAAATTTAATCTAGTTTATTTTCTCCTTTGTATCTGTCATGATCCTAGCACTGATGACTGGCTTAATTACTCATTATATTCAGTTGTCTAACTGTGCCCAGTTTCTCATCATTGCTCATCTGATCCCGCTGTGCCTGCCTCCATTTAAGGTGCTTGCATCCAGTCATCAGTGCCTGATCATTTCTTTCAAGCCAGTGGGGAGAGTGTGTCCAGAATGACCTTAGTGTTTCTGTTTTATTGGTCCATCTTTCAACCACTGAGCTTGCCTGCTCCTGTTCTGATCTGTTTGCCTAACCTGGGCTCGGACTCCTAGACCCCTGAGCTTGCCTGTTGCTGTTGTGATCTGTTGCCTGGACTCCTGCTTGTACTCTGGGCTGCAGCATCTGGGACTCTCTCGGCAGTGCCTGCCGCATCTTGTTGGAAGCCCACTGCCTGGATCTTACCTTGTTCTCTGGGTACAGACAGAACTGTTAAAACCAGAGTTTCCTATGATAGACGCCCTAGCCAATTTTACTCTGATCCACTGGTTAAAAAAAAAAAAAAACACCCATTATATAATTCCACTGTCTGTCTTGCCTTGAATGCTGGGTCCTTGTGTTCAGAATCATGACATTATCAGTCTTTGAGTTGATTTATTGCTAGCTATGGTGGCCCATGAGCCCAGCAGAAATACTAGTAATGTTACAGTTTCTCCTTACTAACCTTGGTGGTATCTATAGTCATGGGTGATATTACACACTCAATGTGTCAGTGTTTGTTGGTATTTCAAAAACACTTTGTCAATTTAAAAAAATGCATGTGTTTTATTGAAGAAAAACAGGAATGTCACAAAGCAATATAATATATGTTGTATCATGCCATTGTTAATTCTAATTGGTGGTTATCTTAGTTTTTCAGCTTTAGAACTGGTCTGAACTAAGTCTTTTCTTCCTTAATTATAAAGAATAGTTAAGTAAGCTGTGGGCTGCCACTGTATTTGATACTAATCTGTTTAAAGTTAATGACATCAGGATTTTTTTTAATGGTACAATGAGTTCCTCATACAACCCCTAAGCTATAAGATAAGTAATACAAAGCAATCAGTTTTTTTTATTTTATTTTTTTTCAGGAAAAATTTTCTAATTTCATTCCTGACTTATACAAAACTGTGGCCATAGTCCTTTTGGAGTAAAAAAAAAAAAGAAATCTAATTTAACAAAGAAATACTATGTTTTGTTTTTGTTTCTTTTTCCTCAATAATATTCAGGCATTTTTTGAACTCATTTATTATTAAGTTAAATCACTAATTGAAGTCAACTCCTTTCACCACACAAATTTACTCCAAAGATACAAGTTACACATAATAAACATTTATCAAAATAAAAATATGAACACCTGGATCAGTTCAATAATTTTAACAAACATACATTTGATCTGCTTGTAAGTAAAAAACAAAAAAAATCTGCAGAGCAACAGCTGAATGTTTCAGTGTTTAAAATTTTAACAAAAAAAAAATCTTTTCACTTAAATAGCTTGGTGTTGTATGTATGATGTATAAATGTATGTATTATGTATGTATGTATTACTATTAGTTAGCTTTGATCAAATAATGATTAAACAAAAAATTCTACTGTATAAATGAGGCTCATCTTGCTTTGTTGATCATTCTGTCTGCCCGAGGCCTGCTTGTTTCCTGGTACATGACTGGGTCTCTAGTTTATTCCCAAAGCTCAAAAGGAATACTTTTAATTGCATTAGTAGTTAAGATAAATAATATTGTGATTGGGAACTCTTTGACCTAATAAAGAACTAAAGTCTGTCTTACTCTTTTGCTCCTTGGGTTGCTAGGCTTTTTTGTAGTTTAACTATAAGACATTTGAACAATAAAATCCAGTGTGTTTTGTTCCTTAACAGTTAGCCTCTACCTTTTCTTCTGTAAAAAAAAAAAGTATGAGCTTGATATAGCAATGACATTGTTTTAATCAACATTTAGTCATTTTCATACTTTGTGCAAACGTTCAAATTTCATGTCCACATCTGTTCCCAACTTTCTTACACGGAGCATATTTAATAACTATTTTCCAAGAGTGGAGTGAAAGGAAAAGAATTTTTAGAGAAAAGAAAATTACCAGGCAACCAGCAATAAAACCTCAACACGGGGCAGCTTTAAATAAGGAGGAAGACTAAGCTAAAGAAAACAGGAAAGACATCTACTAAGGAAATAAAATGGACTGAGATTTACCAGCAAAACAAACACCATGGAAACACAGGAATCAGCAAAACTGTAACCAAACAGATCATCACATAAAGACAATAGACAGTGCCACCATGTGGAAAATACAGAATGAAACAGCCTTAATGAATTTAAAGCACTAACATTTTATATGGACGACCTGAAAAAGCATACATATGTTTGGGTGGTAGTCATTATTTATTGTGGGAATCCTGGAAAAAGACTGTTGCTTACTGTATAGTTCTTTGAAGTAAGGGTATTACTAAAGTGGGGGAAAAACCCCTGCATATTGGATCTACATGTTGACATTTGTGTATTCAGTAGATTTAGCTGTGACCTTAAAGGGCTTTTTGTCTGAAAGGTAATTTATACATCACACACTTCTTTAACACTGATCCTGCAGAAAATAATAGGGATAGTCAGAACAGGGAAAAACATGTTTAAAACCTCAGTCTCTTTGAATATTAACTATCATTAAAACAAACAAAGAAACAAGAAAAAAAATCATGACATGTCTTAACTTGTAGAAAACACTCATGCTGTTATCTGAACTGTAAGATCGTATGTGATAAAACCCACATTGTAAACAGAAGCCAGGTGCTCTGGGCCACAGATTTGTATTTGTTTAGGATCCAAAGGCTTTGTACCTTTGTACATATTGACAAAGTTTGCTATATTCACTGTAGTTTCTCCAATTAAAATATATTTTTTTCCACCTAATATTTAATAAATACCTGAGTCTCGAGAGGAAGTTCTCTTCACCACTATCAGATAAAACAAGGTGTTGCGACACGGAAGCATTTTAAAATCTGTGGTGATGGAAATAAGACTCCTTTGAGGAGCACTGGGAAGAATAGAAATAGCTGCTTTTACCCATAACAGAATACCTGCCTTAAATGAAACTGTGTGGTTTTTTAAAACAATCCTTGTGGTATTTTTAAGGTTTCTTTACTCTCATTCTTCAGATAAAACTCACTTCTTGCTAAAAAAAAGTGAATTCTGCTGCGTTATTTGTGAACTACAATTACTGATAACTACATTTTGATAAGTAAATATTACGCGAAATATTAGGTTGCTGTAAAACTGCCTCTAATAGGAGGCTCTTAGACTGTTATTTGTCCTTATCTGTCTATTAGCTCAATTATTTATGTCTAGACACATGCTTTCACTGTCAGTCCCCTTTACCCTCAGTTTCTTTAGCTAAGCAGTGGCTGTCTTGCTGTGCTTCTTTGGCTGGTTATGTTGAAATACTCCCCTGCAACCCAGTTTCCAGATGGAGGGGATCATGTTCTGCTTCAGTATGTCACAGCACATGCAGGCGTTTATGGTTCGCTCAAGGAGCTGTAGCTGCCAACAGCCTGCAGGACTCATGCACTCCCACTAACTCAACCATGATCTCCTCAGACCAGGATCATGGTAACAATAATCCATATTCTCGGTCTGCTTGTCCTTGTGTGTTTATTCTTGCCAGCTAAATTTTAGCCCAACATTTTCTTCCAAAGGGGGTAAAAGTCTAAATCCTTGTAATGTAGGCACAAGTTTCAAATGTACTAAAACTATTTCCATATGCCCAAACCAAACAACAGGTTATAGCAAAATGTAAAGGCAATACAGATCTCTATCTACATGCAATCGGATGCTTGTGAAAACAGGAGCCTGATTTAATAATGCAGTCAAAGGCCTGGTCATCAGAGGGCACAATCACATTCTGCAGTGTTCTACAAATGGTACAAATATTTGACCTATTTGTGTTTCAGTTCATTGTACATCTATTCACCCTTTTAGCTTGGGGATGCTTATGAGATCTAGATTTAAACTCATCTTTATTTATCCCTTGGAATTACTCCTTTAGGGAAATTCTGATTCCAGTAGCTTATATGGAACACAAAGGGCAGAGTTAAAGCAAGATGCCATTAAATATAAAAATATAACAGACAATATAAAAGAGTGTATATAGTACAAATTGGCATTTTGTTATTTTGTATATTGTCTATAATCCAGGTACAATAATTCATTTCTATTTACTTTATAAATGAGATATTTCTAACATTTCTACTGAGCACCACAAGAGGTAGCTGAAGTTCTTCATCTGGGATTGATGCCACAGACTGAAATGATGGGATAAACAGAAGCAGAAAGAGAACAGCAAATGGCAGCATTCATAGAAATAAATGCCAAATAGGAAACCATGAGACTGCCATGAAAAACATGGCTTTAAAGCTGGATGTACCTCTGGATAGGGTTTTTCTATTTAGAATATTTTAGTAGTGGTTTGTTTTTAATGGAAATATCGAAAAGAACAAAATGTGCTGAGGCTTTTAATTCAATTCAATTCAGTTTATTTATTTAGCGCCAAATTCACAACACATGTCATCTCAAGGCACTTTACAGTTCAACCAGATCATCCAGTCAAATTGATACAAAGTTTTTTATCTAAGGAAAACCAGTTGATTGCATTGACTCATTGACTCAAATACAATCCGTCACACTAAGCATGCTTGTAGCGACAGTGGAGAGGAAAAACTCCCTTTTAACAGGAAGAAACCTCCAGCAGAACCAGGCTCAGTGTGAGTGGCCATCTGCCGAGGCCGACTGGGGTTCAAGGAGACAGAAGCAGAGACACAAAAAGCAGCTGTAAAAGGCGGCCCCGTCCAGGAAACACACAGCCAGGCAGACGAGCACCGAGCCAACTCCCATGCCAGAGGACGAAGAGAGCACATCCACCCAGTCACGGTCAGAGAAACAGGACCACACTGGAAAACAGGCCGATCTCCAACATCTATAAACAAGGGTGTTGATGGAAGCTGCACAGCTGATGTTTCTTTCCAGGATGACGTCACAGCCAAACAAAAGCAGAGAGAGCAGAACGTTAGAGTGAGTTCTGGAACTTTCTATTCCAGAACTCACTTCTGGCCACAAGTCAGCACATATTCATGCTGCTTATGTCAAGTGTTGTGTAAGGTGTAATTATGCATTAAGAAAAGAAACAATCAAACTTATTTCTCGATATTTTTTTGAAACCGGTTTTTGTTGTGGTATTTTTTGTTCTCTTTTTGTTTGTTTTTTTCTCACTTAAGGTTTAGTGGGAGGCTTGGTTTTACTGTGGTGCATGTGATTGCACTTTAATCCATGATAATCTTTAATATTTAGAGTTTTAGTGGCTTCTGTTGCACTTTAACTCTGCTGTTCTAATTGTTCTAGCTTTTCTAGGTTATTTTATTGTCATTACACTGTCGAAAGTACAAAGCAATGAAATAAACTCTCTGCATTTACCTCATCCCCCTTGAGGAGCAGTGGGCTGCCATTGTGCTGTACCTCGGGAGCAGTGTGGG